TTGGATAATAATAGCACCCACTTTTATAGGTTGTATTGGTGTTTAAATAAGATAATGTATATAAAGCACTTAGCTTACTGCCTGGCACATAGCAAACACTTAAACAGTGTTAGCTGTAACCCCAAACAAGCAGTTTTTACTTTGTTATGAGTGAGTTGGCTTTCATTAGTGACAATTTGCTTGAAAAGTTTGCACAGGGGCTCGGATTGCCTATGGTGATGAGTCAAGCTGCTATATAGTTAGCAGACCTCTAACTCCCTAAATGCTTTGGCCACAGCTGGAATCCAGATGAACCCACATCCCTATTTCAGGAGCAATGGGAGGCTGGAGTAGCTGGGGCTAAACCTTGTAATCCTCTGCATGGCCCTCACAGTCTCAGGAACCTGTCATTACAGCACACTGGCCACCTTGTTTGGCATCATCTAGCTCACTGATCTAAAAGCTGTGGCCTGGGAACTTGATTTACAGACTACCATGGCACGCTTGTCCAAGTGTGTCTAGAGGTGCTTAGGACTATCCCAAGCCCTGGGACTCATGACTACAATAACACTATGATGTTTATAGTACAAGTATTATCCCTATTTTTTTGATGAATATACTGGCATTCCAAGTGATTAAGGGACTTACTCATTATTACCAAAATAGCATTCATTCTAGTAATTGATTCTAATTCAATGCACACTTTCAAGCTATATTTACTTTTCTCATTATTCTAATCAGAAACAAAGATTATTATATCATGAGTTATAATAATACCATGAACATGAGCTTTCAGAGAAAAAAACTATAATCTCACCACTAATGATATATACATATATTCATACATCTCTCGATAGATAGATGATAGATAGATAGATAGATAGATAGATAGATAGATAGATAGATAGATGATAGATAGATTTTTTTTAGTGTATTATCAGGAGTTTTGATAAATGCATACTTTTCCACCCATAATACCTTGATTTTAAGAGTTTGACAGGATTTGGAATGTAGTCTGTGGCCCTTTAAAGAGTAATTATGACTGTCCTGCTATAGATCTAACCTGTAACCTTTGTCCTGTCAGCCTCTTGACCCTTGTGTGCAGATCTGTCACCTGGAGACTGCTTTCACAAAAAGCCTTCCTCTTCATTATTCAGACTATGCTACATGCCTTGGCTTCCTACACTGCATAAGAAAGGGTTTGAATTACATGATCTCCAAAATCTCTTCAATCCATGATTCTGCTCTTCTGGTAAGACATTGTTGCTTCTACAGCCCGGATTGTGTGTCTGGGTAAATAATGGTGGTTGGTTTTGCAACTAGTAGGGTTTTCATGTGACTTTTTTACCCTCCTGTTGTTGTTTTATTTTTCATTTTTAAACCTTTTCTGCTACCAGTTTTCCAGGTGTCCAGGACATAATATATATAGTGAATCTGACAGAGAACATATGGGAGAAGAGACCAGTTAGGTTTCCATTTCAGTATCTCAGATTACATGATGAGTCAAGGAAATAAAAAGGGTAAGGGGAGAACAAACTCAAAATAATTACAAAAATTCATGTCTAGGAAAAAGGGAAAATGATAGTGTCAACAAAGCATGAAAAGTGTGAAATGATGATAGTGGTACCTCCAAGTGGAGGTGAGGGCTGCTGAAAAAAATCAGACAGAGAACCCGGGTGAGTCATTAAAGTTTGAAATAGTGGAGAGGTGAGCTTTCTGAAGAGGAACATAAAGCAAGGTAAAAAAAAGATCATGGACAGCCCCACTGGTGTGGTTCAGTGGTTGAGTGTTGACCCATGCAGCAAGAGGTCACCGGTTTGATTCCCAGTCAGAGCACATGCTTAGGTTGTGGGACAAATCCCCAGTCAGGGGGCATGCTGGAGGCAGTCAATCAATGTCTCTCTCATCGACGTTTCTCTAAAAATCAATACAGAAAGGAAAAGAACATGGCCAACACAAGATTAAGTCATAGAAGTCAAGGAATCTGTATAGTCTGACACACTTATTGGTACTAAACTTTAACCTACATACCCAGTCTATCCTATTCCAGTCTATCCTATTCCTGAGTCAATCTTGGAAAGGTGGGAATAATAACAGAAAGTCTGCCATCAACCACAAAGTAAGTTGAAGGAAGTGTGTGGGGGACCCAGAAGGGGATTATCTAAAACACTTTGGCTTATTATCTGATTTACCAAAAATAAGAATCGTGGGCTTCTACACACTCACCAAACTGTAGCCTAATCCCTGGATTGCCATTATTTCCAAGTCTGTATGAATGGTTTCTGCTCCAATTCCTCATTCTCACTGTACTTCCCTTCTGGCTTCAAAATACTATCCCCAATTTTTTCCTGGCTTATATCAGACCACTCATATCAGGCCAGTGTGGGACAGTTGATTGGGCATCATCCCATGCACCGAAAGGTTGCCAGTTCAATTCCCGGTCAGGGCACATGCCCTGGTTTTGGGCTCGATTCCCAGTAGGGGGTGTGCAAGAGGCAGCTGATTAATGTTTAACTCGTACATTGATGTTTCTCTCTCTCTTCCCCTCTTCTTTCCTCTTTCTCTAAATATCAATAAAAGGGGGGGGGGCAGTGTGGACCATTGACCAGAGTCCTTTCTCAAATCAGAGACCACCTCCTCTCTTCTCACTCCACCCTCAATTTTATTTTATTTTAAACACTAGCTAGCACTTAACTCTGCATATTACCTTTTATATTTCATAAATGTGTTCATTTCTTTTTTTAAAATTGATTTTAGAGAGAGAAGAAGGGAAAGAAAGAGAGAGGCAGAAACATCGATGAGAGAACACATATTGGCCGCCTCCTACATGCCCCCCACTGGGGATCGGACTCACAACCTGGGCATGTGCCCTGACCAAGAATCGAACTGGTGACCTCTTGGTGTGATGCTCAACCACCAAGCCACACTGGCCAGGCCACCTTCAATTTTAAAATGAAATAATAAAAGCCAGAGACCTCCACAACTAACTGCTCCCATCTGTATACTTTTGGAGCCAGCTCCACCCGGGATGGAGCCTTGCCCTCTTGGACACTATGATTTGGCTTTCTGTCACTCTTTGGATTGAAGAAATAAGAGAAGGTCCAGAAGAGTGTGCTATATCTGGAGCCAGGGGAGTAAAAATTTTTAGAGTAAGAGCCAGTTTTCAAGTCAGCCAATTCCTGCATAAAGAAGGAGAATGAGAATGGCCTTAGGTTATTTGATTTGGTGAGAAGTAGGTCACAGTAACAAAGAGGAAGGATGGTTTCAGTAATGTGTTGGAGATAGAAGTCAAATTAAAGGGAATTTTATTCTATTTTATTTATTTTTTTGTATGTGCCCCTAGTGGGAACCGAACCTGGAACTCTCTGGTCCGCAGGCCGACGCTCCAACCGCTGAGCCAAATTGGCCAGGGCTTAAATACTTTTATAATAAAGAAACCCAGACAAGAATGATTCAATCATGGGGAACCTTTATTTAAGCCTGTCTTTGCATACAAATCATAAAAAAAGTGTTCACAGTTCACCCTAAAGACTCAATTCTTATAGTTTCTCAATGCTTCCTTCTTCCCTGTCTTCTTTAATCTTTCTTTCCTTTTCTCATATATATCCCACTTACCCCTCCTCATTTTCAACTATGTTCCTAAATAGAAAAATAATAATAAAAATAAAATAAAATCTAAAATAAACCCACAAACATTTCAAGTAACTCTGGGGCCAGGATGAAGAGACGTACAAGGGAGGCTCCTTCATCTCACCCTTGGGAGTGTGAGAATCTTAATGAACAATGATAATAAAAGATTGATCTATGCAAAGAACTTGCCCTTCTTTGCCCTAAGCTGCTCAGGGGTGAGAAATTGAAATATCATACAGAAAAGATTTAAAGGGATTGTGGAGGGAGGGAAAATACAACCATTAAGTGAAAGCCATAGTCTTCACAGAGGTTCCAGAGGAGAGAGTAGTAGGCTGGCCACGGCAGCAGAATTCTCTGAAGAACCACTGGAATTCTGACTTCCCCTTTGCTATGGAGACACAGGGCACAACATTCTCCACTTGCTTCCTTTCTCTGACAAGAATGCCTTCCTCCTCTGACTGGTGAATCAGGCAGCCTTCAAGATCCAGTTCAAACCACACCTGTCTGATGATGATGCCTTCCATAAGAGAAGCTTTCCCTGGGCCAAGTTCACTCCTCCATCCTCTGGGCTCTCATGCGGCTAAGTATGTACGAGAGGTAGGCCTCACACTTCTAAGTCCACTGAAAAACGTGGATTTGTTTACAAGTCTGTTAGCTGGCTGGGAGCTCTCTGACTTGGTATCCTTAGTGTCTCATATAGTGCCTGGCACATCGTAAGGAATTAATAACTGTGAGGGAGAAAAAGGGGTAGGGGGAGGAAGGAAGGAAGAGCAGGGTGGAGGAAGTGAGAAAGTATCTGACTCAGTGTTCCCTGGCCAAGCAAAAGGGAAATGGATTTAAAGAAGTCTGGAGGAACGGCACAGAAAGGAGGAAAATTCATTTTCTGGGTCTTCTCTGCCTCTCTCTCTTCTCCCTACCACTTCCTCCCGTAACCTCACACCACAGCTGTCCTCCCTTCACTCCTAATCCTTCAACTCACCCCAAAGGGAAGGAAAGAAGCCAGTTAGGCTTCCAACTTCTTCCACCCCAACCCCTCAAACCTCGCATCATCCTTTTCCACCACGATGCCTCCCCACTTTTCCTCTGCCCCCCTCACCTTCCCTACCTGCTGCCCTCCCACCCTAGTGCCCTGGCATCTCACCCTGTGCAGTGCCAGGCCCAAACGGGAACATCTGTCTCAGACTGAACACCAAGAGGCTCTTAGGGGTAGCTAGCTTGTGGTGTCTGGACTGAGGAAACTCTAAACTGGGCCTGTAAGTCACCTGAGAAACAGTATTGTCAAGAGGGTTCTGGTATCCCAGGGATTGTAGAGATGAGCAAAGCCTGGAAAAGGGAAGGATTCAACAATTACAGTCCTCCCCGCCCCACCCACCCGGACTTCTCAAACTCATTCATGGATGGCCTTTCCATGTTTTTCTCCTCGAATCCATGGGTCAGAACCATCATTTTCCACGCTGTCCTCTCATGGCCCCTACACTTTGGCTACTAGAGTCTCTTGACTGTCTTCCCAGCTAGATGTACTTTTCCCATGAAGAATCATAACAGGGTCCTCAAATCTTGTAGAATTGCTTCTGGGTCTCTTCTCCTTACCTAGGCATTTGGCTGCTCTCCTTCCTCAATGACCTTTCCCTAGGAATTCTGGAGCCACCTTTTCTTCCATGACGATCATATATTCAAAAGCAGTTTACAAATTGTAAAGCACTGTACTAGAATAAAACACTACCACGAATAAAGAATGCTCTTCCACTCCCATCATCTCTGTCCTTCTCTTATGATGTGTCTTATCCCTTCCTCCCCCATCCACTGCTGCTGCTCCACCCTCACCCAGCGGGTTTGGTTTGGTGCCTTGTGGGACCTAAAGCTATATGCTGCAGAGTGGGCAGACTCAGGATGCAGGCAGGCATCTCAGCCCGAGGCCTCGGCAGGGTTCCCAGGCAGAGCCATCGGCCCAGGCCAGGACAGTAAGCATGGATAAGGTGGGAGAGGGCATAAGTAAGGTGGCTGTAACCCCCCAGCACCAGGAACTCCCCCTGCAGCACAGCACTTGCAGCTCCCACATGGGGGGAGGGGAGGGGTGCCAGGTGAGTCCAGCTATCAGTCCTTGGTTCATAGGCCTCAAAGCTCAGCAGATCCCCAGTCTCACCTAACCCACCTGCTACATACAGCCGCCCACCCAGAGCAGCCATGACGTGGCCAGCTCGAGGCACCCTCATAGGGCTCAGAGGTGTTCCTGGCTTCTCAAGTTTGGGGTCATAGTGCAGCAATGAGGTCAGGAATTGGCTACTCCCGTTGCATCCACCAGTCATGTACAGCCGGCCCTCCAAAACAGCTGCTGCGTGGGCAAAGCGTGGTGCTGGAAGTGCAGGCGCTGGCCTAAGGGAGAACAGAGCACATGATCAGGCACCAATCAGCCTCAGTCCTCCTTCTCCTCCAAGTCTCCTAGTCTCTCCCTGATGCCTAGCACCTCCCCACCCTTCCCCTACTCACCTCCATTCATTGAGCTCGGGGTTATAGGCCTCCACAGACTTTAGGGCAACACCATTGGCTCGTCCACCCAGGGCATAAAGTAATCCATCCAGTGCCACCAGAGGGAAAAAACTCCGAGCCTGGCACAAAGGTGTCATTTCCTCCCAGTCCTCTTGACTGGGGTCCCACCTGGACACAGTGTGACAAAAGATGGGAAGAGTGACTCTGGAAGTCTGTGGTTGGCTGGGCCAGCAATTTCCCTCAGTTGCCCACCTTGGGGTCTGCCACTCTTGGCGGGGGCATACCTGAGAGTAGAGGCCAAAGTGTTGGAGTGGCTGTAGTAATCCTGTCCCCCACACACGTAGAGTTCATTTCCTGCTAGGCTCGCAGCCCCGTGCCGGAAGCGTCCTGGGGCAGGCAGGGCAGGCAGCCGGCCCCACTCTATGGTTCGCACCAGTCCAATGCCGCAGCGGAAGGCCCGGGCCCACCACACTCCTCGGGATGGCTCTTTTATGGCCATGTCTGAACTGAGCTTGTCCCCACCAATCACTACCAAAGCCTGGTCAGGCTCCCTCCGCCTCTCTCGACCTGGAATCTCAGACTCCACTAACAATTGACGCAGCAAGTCTTGGGACAGAGGTGGAGGCAGCCCCAATGCCCGTACTCTCCGAAGCTCCCTGGTGGACATACGTCCAAAGCGGACACATTGAAGCAGGGCCTTGGCCTCTGACTCCTGGGTCTCAGGGTTGGCAGCTAGCCAAGACCGTGCAGCCACAAAGGCCTCAAGTTCCTCCTGCAAGTGTAGCTCATCACAGTCCAAGAGTTCAGCTAGGCAGGCAACCGGTAAAGAAGGGAAATTGGGGCACAAAGCCACCATGGGCAGGTGGGTGAGGAGGTAATGACGGGCTTTGCTCCAGAGCCTCTCCAACCCAGGGGCTTCAGCCATGGGGAAGAGGGCCAGGCAACGTGCAGGGCTGAGACCCCGTGCCAAGGCTGTCTGGCACAGAGCCAGGCAGGAAGAGCTCTGGTATTGAAGAGCAGCCTGGGCAGCTCTCAGCAGTCCTGGCCATCTAGCCCGCACAACACCAGAGTAGGCAAAAGAGACGAGGAGTCGCAGGTCCTGGGCAGACATGGTGTTCAGAGATACCTCTGTGCCCTGGGATTCCCTCATCCCACTCAGGAGCATGGCCCCAAAGAACTCGCTGCCACAGGCCAGGGCTGTTCGGTGCACTGCAAGAGGAAGAAGAAGCAGAGGGGGATCCAGAGTTTTGCAAACTGCTAGGCACTATGCCAACTTCACAGCCCCAACTTTGGACCAACCAACCAAGGCCACAGGCCAAACTGTGGTGTGCATCAGAACACCATGGGATGCTTGTTAAAATGCAGGTTTCAGGAACCCAATCCTGGAGATGCTGATTCAGTAGGTCTCAGTGGCATTCCTAAGATTTTGTATTTTAACATTTTCAAGCACCCTGCATGACTCTCATGTTAGTGGCCTAAAGATACTTTGATAGCCCTGGCTGGTTTGGCTCAGCGGTTAGAGCGTCGGCCTGCGGTCTCAAAAGACCCGGGTTCGGTTCCTGCTAAGGGCATGTACCTTGGTTGCAGTTTGTCCCTGGCCCTGGTTGGGTTGTGCGGGTGGCAGCCACTCGATGTATCCCTTTCACATCGATGTTTCTCTCTCTCCCTTACTCTCTCTCCCTCCCACTCTATCTGAACAACAACCAAAAAAAAAAAGGAAAATAACCTAGGGTGAGGATTTTTTTTAAAAAAGATACTTTGATAAACACTGCTTTAGTCTTTTTGATCCAGATGAATTAGAAAAACAGTCATGATGGATCAAGTTGAGAAGATGCTGTAGACAGCATTTGCTAACAGGGGGCACAAAATAAACTGCAAAGACCAATGTGCAACTTATATGGGTATCTCCATATTGTATACAGAATAAAATTCTTTCCTTTACAATCGCAAGAGCCACTGACATCAGCCATTCTGTTAGTCGGATTTTACTCAGAACGTGGTATGACAGTCAGGAATGGCTATGAGCCAAGCTACTCAGACTGCTGTCTCCTCTTGCCCAAGATTTAGTGCTCAAGATTTTCCATGTGTTCTAGCTTTCCTCTGCACACCCCCACTCCGCATCTCAGCATAGTGTATGGAACCATAGGATTTTAAACTGGAAACCTTCAAAATCATCTAGTTCAATTGCTCCCTTGAAGATAAGAAAACTGAGTCCTAGGTGGGGAAAATGGTGTATTTTCTATTGCCATACAGTGGCTCTCTGGGCAGATCTTCACCATCCACCGTCACTGGTGTCAGGCTGCTATGAGCACTTGAGTATTGATACCCTGCTTAATTGCATGGCCCTCATGACACAGAAACTGTCCTATTAACAAATGCTGTTTTACAACTAGATCCCATATGCTTACTAATATAACTCAACTTGAGGTGCTTGGCATCTCCTATGGAGAATTCTGATTGAACTGTTTAACCTAAATCTAATCAAGACTTTAACTCTAAATTCAAATTTATAGGAAATTGAGAGGCTAAAAGAACAAATTGAACAAAACCATGAAGGCCCTGGCCGGTGTGGCTCAGTTGGTTGAGCATTGCCCTATGCACTGAAAGGTTACAGGTTCGATTCCTGGTCAGAGCACATGCCTAGGTTGTGGGTTCCATCCCTGATCTCTGGTGGGGTACATGCAGGAAGGAGCTGATTGATGTTTCTCTCTCACATTCATGTTCCTCTCTCTTTCTCTCTCTCTCTCTTCCTCTCTCTCTAAAATCAATAAAAACATATTTTAAAAAAAATTTTAAAACATGAGGAAAAATGCATACAAACCTAGAAAATGGTGCATTCTATAGGGTAACTAATCTTGTTTCCTCAATAAGTCAAGTCATAAAAAAGGAAAGGGGACTGTACAAGAGTAAAGGAGCCTTAAGAGACATGCATCCGAGTTCAGCACAGTGCTTAATTGGCTTCTGGGCTGAGCAAACCAGTTCTAAAGGACATTTTATAGACAAGTGGAAATATTTCAACGTGGACTAGGTGATACTAAGAAATTATAGTTAATTTTGTTTTATTTGATAAAGGTATTATAATTATATGAGAAAATGTCCTCCCTTAAAGAGAAACATACCCAAGTATTTATGAATGAAATGTCACAGATTTACAAATAAATTAAAATGTTAATTGTTAAGTGTGGGCGATGGGTGTTTGAGTCTTCGTCTTAATATTCTCTTTACTTTGCTATGTGTTTGAAATGCTTCATAATAAAGAAGTGAGGGAAATGCTGCTAGAAGTCTTCTATGGCAGGTGACACAGGGCCAAGCTCCCAGTGAGGTTGATGAACCTTGGGCTGCTTTGACCAACTGTGATGTGGCACATTCACCTCTCTCTAAAACCATGTTGCTATGGTTTTCCATTGCCTTTTTGAACAGCAGGTATTGACTTGGTGCTTCCTAAGTGGTAAACATCAGTGATAGCTTTCAAATATAGCATTGCCTGAGAAAATAAGGCTTTCTCAAAGCAGGGAAACCATCTCATCTTCTATATCATCAATCAACTTATTGCTCAGAGCCAACTGTGAAGGAGCTGACAACCATTTGTATTCCTCCTCTTACTCATCATTAGTCTCTAGAATTGTGAGAGGTTCCCACCATTAAGTTGGAATGTCTCTCCCTCAGAAGAGGGGATGGGGTGGTGGGGTGGTGGGAAGAGATAAACCACAGAACTTATATGCATGTATGCATGACCAATGGACATGGACAACTAAGCCGGGGACAGGGCGGAGGTGGGGTGGGATGGGGGGTGCCAATGGGGTAAAAAGGTAAAATATCTGTAACGAAAATCCAGTTGTTAATAATACAAATAAATAAAAAAATTTTAAAAAGCTGGAAAAAAAAAAAGTTGGAATGTCTCTTAGGGAAATGAAAACAGTGTTTAAATTCCAAACCCTAATGGGAATTTTATAACTATGAAATTTTAAAGTTCCCCTCCATGTACTTCATCTAGTGTTATCAGAAATGATAACAAACACATTAGAGATTGCTATGGATGGAATTTTTGTGTCCCCCCCAAAAAATTCATATGTTGAGTGCCTAACACCCACTGTGATGATATTTGTAGGTAGAGCATTGGGGAGGTAATTTGGGAGAGAGAGTACAACCCATATCTCTTTCTCTCTTTCTTTCTCTCTTTCTTTTTCTCTCTCTATCGCTCTCCCCCATGTGAATATACAGTGAGAAGATGGCTTTCTGCAAAGCAGAAAAAGGACCCTAACCAGAGCCTGACCGTGCTAGAACCCTGATCTTGGACTTCCAGGCTCCAGAACTGTGAGAAATAAATTTATGTTGTTAAACCACCCAGTCTCTGGTATTTTGTTGTTCTTGTTGTTAGTTTTGTTATAGCAGCCCAAATTGACAAAGACAGTATGCTTTTCCTTATGGGAGTCCCAGAAGCACTTTGGGTCCCAGTCATTCCTCTAATGAGCAGTAGCTATATGACTTTGGACATGTCTTGAAGTCTGATGTCTTTATCAATAAAGTATAAGAGCCAAATTAGATCATCTCTAAACTAATCACTTTTAATTTTAAATATATATATATATATTTTATCCTCACCCGAGGACATTTTTCCATTTTTTGTACAGACAGAGTGGGAGGGAGAGAGAGGAAGAGAGAGAGTGAGAAACATCGATGTGAAAGGGACACATCAAGTGGCTGCCACCCGCACGACCAACCAGGGCCGGGGACAAACTGCAACCAAGGTACATGCCCTTAGCGGGAACCAAACCCGGGTCTCTCCGGACCGCAGGTGGGTGCTCTAACCGCTGAGCCAAACCGGCCAGGGCTAATTTTAAATATTTATGTGTCTGCATTTCAACTCCATTTGCCAGTTCCTATGTGTCTTTGGTTTGGCTGCATAGGAGGCAATGCATGGCTTAATGAGAGTCAAGAGGGCTAGTAAATGAATGTAGGCTTGTATCCTGGTTCTGAATAGTTAACATCTTAGTTTAATGTTCTTTATCTGTACCTAGGAATTATGGTACTTACCTCACTAGTGTTTAATGAAAATTAAAAGAGATGGCAAATGTAACAATTCATGGTACCCAGTACCTCACTAAATGTTAGTAGAATCTGAACTCAATTTATTCAACCCTTCGTAGCTTTCCTGGTGATGAGCAGAGTTAACTTCAAAGTGTCATGGTCTGCCTGGCTGGTGTGGCTCAGCGGTTGAGCATCAACCCAAACCAAAAAGGTTGCCAGTTCAATTCCTGGTCAGGGCACATGCCAATCCCCAGTGGAGGGCATGAAGGAGGTGGCCAATTGATGTTATCTCTCATCAATGTTGCTGTCTCTCCCTCCCTCTCCCTTCCTCTCTCTCTCTCTAAAATCAATAAAGAAAAAAAAATGTGTTTTTTTTTTTAAGAAACTAAGTGTCATGGTCTGGTAGCCTTAAGATTCTGGCAAAACAGTACCAGACCTTGCTCATTAGCTGTAGAACCACGTCAGCCATCGGGTCAAGCACCCTTAGGTGAAAGGATGCCCTGAGTTTTCCCACCATGTTCCTCTGGCTTTTCCTGTGTCCTAAATAGAAGATGCCAAGAACCTTTGGTTAATCCCTATTTGAATCAATCACTTTCTGCTTGTTCTGCTGGCATGGGCTGCACCTTAACTCCAGCCAGCTGGCTGTTAATTCCTTGTTACTGGGCCCAGGAAAAGGCACAGGGGGGAGAGTCAGCTTACATTTGTCTCCTAGGAAAACAACTCAAGTGCGCATGCCCCACTCTCGGGGGCTCAGGAGAGGCACAAAAGGTCCCCTAGGGAAATTCTGATGGCAGCAGGGATCAAAACCACTAAAGGAGAGATCAAACTACCTGCTGCTTGCACACACCATTCCAGTGGCATTTGCACCTGCAGTAAAGAATGCCCCAGAGGCCCTCACCCCTCAGCGGGCAGCCGCCTGCCTCCAGCTCCAGGTCACACCCGATGCCCTCTTGGTATAAGAGCTCAATGCTGCGCAGGTTCTCCCTCAGCTCCTCTGCTTGGCTGGGCTGCTTTTCATCGTCCTGGGTGCTCCCAGTCCTCTCCAGTTTCCGCTGGGCCGCGGCCTTCACACGGGGCGCTCCCAGGACCTCTGCGGCGGCCAGCACATCCTCCAGGGGGACTGGACCCAGCACCCCCTCATAGGCAAAGGTCAGCACGGCTTCCCAGGCCCTGGGGGCCACGTTGAGGCTGAAGGAAGGTCGCGGACCAATGCCGCCCAGCAGCCTGCCTCGAAAAAGGCTGCTAACTGCGGCCAAGATGACCCGATGCACTCCGTATACTCGCCCCCTGACTGACACCTCTTCATCCAGCAACAGCTTCTGCTCCCGCAGCCGCTGTGCCTCCGCGAAAAACTGGCTCAGATGCTCCTCGCTGCGCAGAGCCTCCGGCTCGGCCGCGTCTTCATCATCATCTTCCTCCTCCTCTAGGGACAAGGCTGGAGAGGGAAGGTTCCCTGAGGCGATGGACCTGGGGCCAGGCTCTTCCAGGGGGAAGGGGGGCAAACTGGGATCCTCGTCCGGCGTCCGGGGCCAGGACGGGTTTCTCAGGCCGGGCGAAGGGGAGTCAAGGCGGTCCTTCTGGATGGGAAAGGAGACGCGCCCCAGGTCCGAGGGACGATGTCTGGAGTCCGAGATGCTCATGGCCTAAACTGGCTGGATTGCTGCAGATGAGCAGAAGAAGGAGAGGAGGGGGTCAGAGCTGCTGAACCCAGAGAGGTCAGAGGATACCCTGCCTCCAGCCTGGCGACGTGTCTGCCTCTCTCCCTACTTCAAACCATTCAAACCGCCACCCACCCACCGGCCCCGCACCTCCGCTCCCCGCACCTCCGCTCCCCGCACCTCCCTCCGCACTCCGTTCCAGGGCTCAGGCAGCCTGGCTACACCGTGCAAGTGTGGAGTTCACGAGGTGCAGGGAGGCGAGCAAGAAGCGGGTGTAAAGTTCCAGTACCCGGGGCTGTGCCCGCCGGCCTTGCCCCCGTCCCAGTAATCACCTTCCCGAGACATCAGCGTTCCACTTGCCCTCTCACTTGAGCTTGCTCTGCTTCGGGCCTCGTGGCAGGAGGAACTCGCCCCGCACCCGCGTGAGCAGCAGCCCCCGCTAATTATAGCCGGCGCTGGCAGGCTTGAGCCTGGGCTCCCGGTGCCCGAACTCCGACACCCAATCCTCCTGGGCCCCGTCCCGAGATGACCTCCTACCCCCTTCCATCTGCAGGTCATGTCCTGCTGCTGAGCGAGGCAAATTCGGATGCCAAAGAGGATGCGGGGATTGGATGGAGTAGCCAGGACAGAAAGGCTGCGTTCATCCCACCTGGCGGGAGGGGGTGGGCGTCCGCACTGCGGAGACCCACCGAAACGTGGGGCGAGAGAAGTGAAGCATGTGTTGGGTCATTCCCGGGCTTTGACTGTTGATGTTTTCTTGCACGATGAAATTTGGACCCTGGAGCGATCAGCACTGACGTGAAAGAAACGTAACCCGGCTGGTCCATCGTGGGTGGAGTGGGTAGGGAAGGAGAAGGGGCATGGGTTAGGGCTACCATCCTAGGTGACCCACCCCCAGCTGGGGGTTTCCTCCGTGACCGAGGTAGGGAACGTGGTGAGAGTGAAACCCAACCCTGTGTCTTCCTAAGTAGCTGGGACCATGACCAGACAGTGGGGAACGTGGGGTTGATTTCTGCTGCTGCGGGGAAAGAGTCCTGGACTGGATGGGCTAGGGGCGCTCTAGAATTCTGTTTGAGGCAGGACACCAACTGCCACTCCCTCCGCCCCAGACAATACCCCTTTCTCATCCTGAGACCTCTCAATCCATGCAGTTGCAGATATCTTTATGGAGAAGGAATTTAGAGAAGGGGACAGCAATCCCCTTCCCCCTCCTCTCTACCAGGGAGGTAGTACAGGCCAAGAGCTGCCGGGCTGGCTGCTTTGGCCAATATAAAGGCTCGTTCAGGCTGAGTAGATTCACCAGAGAATCTGACTTAAGCAGGGAGCGAAGCCAGATTGTTCCTTAAGGCTCAGGTGAGAGGTGTGGTGTTCGCGTGGAGGAGGGGCAGGAAGGTGAGTTGCTAGGACACAGCGTGCTCTGTGCTTTCAGAACTGTCCCTGCTCTCTATTTGAGTTTGGGTACCCCCACAGACTAGGGGCTGCACTCACCAAAATGGTTCGACAGAGAAGCAGAAAGCCAGTGGTTGTTCCGGCAGGAGAAAGTGTCAATAGTGGCCAGCCTCTCTCCCCTCTCCCCCGAAACAGACATTTTATGGCCTCCTCCCAGAGAGAGGGGGCCAGCACCATGAGCCCCCACCAGGAAGAAAGGGAACCAGCCAGTGGAAACATACCTGAGGTTTGTCTCTGCTCCGCTCCACCTCCCCAAGAATAAGGACACTAGACCCCACTCCGAGTTCTATGCCAACTCCCTGGTGCTGGGACTAAGGATGCTGCTTGTCTCTGGGGACTGTGTGGCTCTGCCACAGTGAGACACACGTCCCACAGCAAACACCGGAAGACTTAATAAAACCTCTGTTCTTTGCCATCATCCCTCACCCCCACAGCACCTCCAGGTCTGCTAGCCTTCCTCCAGCTTGCTCACATGCAGGCCCAGAAGTGGTCTTGGCATCTCAGTCAGGGGCTACCATGGCGTCCATCTCTGCAGAGCCCCACACCAAGCCACACTCCCAAGATGATGGAAGAATTAGGGGCTGGGCTTGGCAAGGCCCTAGTGCACTTCCACTGGGTCATGGAAGTCATGGTAGCGCAGGGTTCCCAAAGCTTGAGGATCTAGGCAGGGGAGAGAGAACTTTACCGGAGAGTTCTCAGAGGGTACTTCTGTGGGAGGGAGGAGGGGGCTGAGGAAACCTCAGTTCCTCCCTCACCACCCTGCTCCACTAGATCTGCTGCATGCTCAACATCTGGGGCATCATCCTCTACCTGCAGCTGTCTCGGATCACTGCTCAGGTGGACATAGGTGTGAGCACAGGGCTCTGCTGGGCAGTAGGAAGGGATTCCAGGACTCAGTCTGAGTGAATTAAAGGAGCCCCATTCCTATCCCCACCCTAGGGCTCACATGGCTCATTATCCTGTTCTCAGCTACAGTCACTACTATTACCAGCCTGCCTATCTCAGCCATCTCCAGTATGGCAAAGTCAAAGTCAAGGCTGATGAGTGTTACCACTCAGTTACCTCGGGGCCCCTAGTCCTGTAAGGAATTGCTGAGACCAGATTGGCTCCTGATCAAGTGGCATGTATAGCTTGGGTTCTGGACTTGACGGTTCGATCAGGAACATTTTCAGTTTTATCAAGGAAGTAGCTGTGGCTTTGCACACGGCAGCCTTCGTGGACACCCTTCTGGACCTGCTCTGGGTACTGCCCATCTCCTCCCTTGTTGTGTCCTTTTTTCAAGCCAGCTGACCATCCAGCCTGAATTTTTTGTGACTCTGGCCTGGGAGAGACATTTTAAGAATCACATGGAGCCTGGCCAGTGTGGCTCAGTGGATTGAGAGTCGTCCCATGGACTGAGAGGTCCTAGTTCGATTCCTGATCAGGGCACATGCCCAGATTGTGGGCTCAATCCCCAGGGGGTGTGCAGGAGGCAGCCAATCGATGTATCTCTCTCATATCGATGTTTATCTCTCTCTCTCCCTTCCTCTCTCGCTAAAAAAAAAAAATAAAAACGTATTTTTAATCGATTTAATAAAGTTTTATTTTTAAAAATGTACACCTGGTGACCTGTTTGTTGTTCACGCATCTTCTCCAGCAGCTGGGGCGTCCCCACCTTTTGTGTTCCTGGTGTAAATTACTCGAGCTCTGTGCTTTGAGACTAGTTTAACAAGCCCTTTGCTGAGGAGCTCCTAAAGGGCGGCCCTGGCGAAGGAGCTGCGGACCTTCAGTCTCTCAGAGACAACAGCCAGGGTTATGAGCTTATAGTTGGGAACTTCCTTACAGAGCTTGTCATATGTCGCTTTGTCAAACAAGACTAGGTTGTTGCGCTTGTCCTGGACTTTGCTTTTGGACCACTTCTTCTTTTTTGGCTTTGCCCCCAGATTTGCTCACTGGGTCCTTGCCTTTCTTGACCGAATTCCCAGCATCTTTCTTCTGTCATCCTTGGGCGGCATAGCAAAACCCCGGGAGCAGCGGCGACCACCGCGGCCTCCACAAGATGTCGGACAAAAAGGGAAAACATATTTTTTTAAAAAAAGAATCACATGGAGCCCTGGCCGGTGTGGCTCAGTAGGTTGAGTATAGTCCCATGCACCAAGAGATTGCCGGTTTGATTCCCAGTCAAGGGCACATGCCTTGATTAGAAGCCCTATCCCAAGCAGGGGGCATGCAGGAGGCAGCCGATCAATGTTTCTCTCTCTCCTTCTCTCTCTAAAATCAATAAAAACATACTGTTTTAAAAAAGAATCAGATGGAGGCATCAAATCAGTCGGTTAAGTCTCCATAAGCCACTACCTCTGTGTTCTGCCCTTCTAGAAGCATGGGATGCAGCTGCAGAACAGGAATCCTGAAAATGAGTTGTGGGTGATGAGCATGCAACTATGACTGTCTTTCTGGGCATGGGAGTCTAAGGCGGGAGCTGGAAGTTGAGGTGAGGTGAGAAGGCTGAAGGGATGGCTGTGAGAGCTGAACAGACCTGGGAGGGGCCAAATGTAGAAAGATGTGTGTTTGTGCAGCTGGCACAGCAGATATCTGGGAACCCAGACCTGAAACTAGATAGTTTTGCTGGGAGAAACTCCACATGTCAGTTTGTCAAGTAAGGAGGACTCATTCTAAGAATCTGTTGGGATGAGCACCAGACAAGACTACTAGATGAGAAATTCTGTTTCTTTTTTGTTATTAATCCTCACCTGAGGATATTGTTTTCCATTAAATTTTTTTAGAGAGAGAGTGGAAAGGAGGGAGGGAGGAATGAGAACTGCATTAAAGGGAATAAATGCCTCAAAATGTCACTTCTCCTTGGAGCAGGGGACCTCATTAGCCCAAACCTCCTCAGAAAAGACTCCTTGATTTCTGATTCTGTATGTCATGTACAAATTGACCATCAGACCACTCGGAGTCCTGTATATCCCTAGGCTGGCTAGTGTGCAAAATTCCCTTCTTGTTCCCAGAGTTACCTAAGTAACTGACACTAAACTGGGTAGAGGGGTAATAATCTTGGCTGAATGAAGGGAAGCCAGGAAACACTCTTCAAAACCCCATCTTTTCTCTCTGTACTTTTATGTTGGAAGCATTTTCTTAGAAAATAGTGGTATGGTCCAAAAGGCAGATTCTTTGGCATGCTTCCCATCTTCTCTTCAGCCATTGGGTATTCACCAGGACAGTATCTCTGGCGCCCTCAAGGTGAGAAGGATTTTCAGGCACGGAGCACACTCTTTATCTCTGCTAATGGTTCAACTTTTGTTCCCAGGACCCTAAGGCAGCTATCCCCAAAGGAACCTGCCTTGTCATCATGTGGACCACACTTTCCTACCCGGGCATCTCTGCCACCATTGGTTAAGGCCCTCCACTCCTGACTTTTATGCAGAATAACCCAGCACCCTGGCTTCTGCCTCTCTGAGGTGCTAAGGTATAAGTGATGAAAAGAGGAAGAACATTCATCAAACATATTCAAAGTAGTTTACACAGAAGTAGCCACCCACCTTCTTCACCATTTCTACCCATCACTCATTTCATTAAGAATTGTATGGTGTTCTTTGATTACCAGATGAGGTCCCTCTCCCTGCCCCCATGCATACACACTTCCATTTACCCCTTTGGCAGTGATGGTACCTAGACCAGTGCCAAAGAGCACTGGTACGTAATCCCAAGCTATGGAATAGGATTCCTTCCCCATGAAGGAGTGTGTGTCCTCAATCTCATTTTCAGGCTCCTGAATGATTCGAGATGGGCTTGGCATGTATGTACAGAATGGGAGCTGCCAGGGGCCAGAGTGCCAATATGGCTGCAACTCCAGCAATCATCAAGGGCAAGGATCCTGTCTCTAGGGGCTCTTAAATCACCACCAGGTGAGTGAACCAGAGAGGAAGACTCAGGTCATTACTGGTTTTTCAGCATCTACACTATGTCTGGCAATGGGCTAGGTAAAATTTATCACTGAAAAAGCTCAGTGAAAATAAGAGTGAAATGTGTTGCTTCCAGATGCATTGAATCTACCTCTGCCTGCCCTTCTCAGGCCGTGATTATGGTGTGTGCCACCAGTCCCCATTCATCATTGCAGGAATCTTCAGTGCCACCCTGTCCTCTGCCCTTTCCTGCTTTGTTTCAGCCCTTCCAAGTTAGTTGGTATCTTAGCAAGAGGCCTGTACCCACTCATTGCTTTTTAGGGAAAGGCCATGGAAAGACACTGAATCTCCGAAAGGCCATCTGTTCACCTTCCTCATTGCTGTCGGTTTCATCCTTATCGGTGAGTACTCCACCTCCACCTCCCACAGCGGCCTTCATTCATCTCTGTCCCCTTGTGCCCCACAATGCCCTACCTCTGAACTTTAGGGCCTGATCCTAAAGCCTCTTTTCTATCTCTCTAGTATTGAAAGTGGATAAAAATATCTGCTTATTTGGTGGTGGGGGTGGGGTGTGTGTGGAAGGCGGAGTGGGAAGTAAGGGGAAAGGGAAGCCAGAAGATGATGCCCTTGACTCTCCAGACATGGATCCTCCAACTCGAGTTTGGAAAATGACCCCCTGAACTTTCACCTCTCCCAAAGCTGGTCTGAACACCACTGCTCCCATCATCTTCAACTTTTTCCTCTGCTTCTATGCCCTTGTCAACTTGGGCTGTTTCCACACCTCCCTTAGCCAGTCGCCTGGCTGGTGTGGGCAGGTGTTGGGGTTAGGCCCAGGGCTGGGAAGACCTGGGAAAGTTGGAGGAGCATCTTGAGGTATGAGGGTGGGTGGTATGAGGCTTTGACAAGGGATGAGCTGCATTCACTCTCCCCTGCAGGCTGGCACCCTTTGTTCCCCTGGTAGAGTCCCTGGCTCTCCTGTCTGGGCTGTCTGCTCTGCCTGCTCGTCATGTTCATCCTCACTTGGTGGGCAGTGCTCATTGCTCTGTTCTTGTCCTGCTGCTGCTGCTCTATCCATTCTACAAGAAACCTGGTGAGTGAGCGGGCAGGTGGGGAAAGGAGTGAGATACAGCAAGAGGCTGACCCCATAAGAAGCCCAGAACTACCAACAGTAAAACTTCATTTCCTCTCCTACGAGACCAGTGAGGCCCCACCTCTGATCACTCTGTACCACCTCTTCCTCTGCACACATGTGAACTGAGCTCGTTGGTCTATTTAGGCACTGACCACAAGGCTCCATCCTACTCAGTGAGCCTGACCAACACGCAGGACTGTGTCAAGAACTTCTGATGAGGGAATCTCTAGACCAAAGGTTGAAAATAGGTAACCTTTGAATTGGATCTTGCCTGCAAATGAGTTTTGTTCAGACTGCAATTTTTAAAAATCTCCAACATTTAATATGCATCTGGTAGCCTTGGGCCTCCGTCCCACAGAACATATTTAGCTGAAGCCAAGGTGCTGCTGTCCCATGGGACAGGGCAGGTGTTCTCCACATGTATTTCCCACCTGGTCCACTTTATTCTTTGATATTACAAGACTGGTTTTTGCAGGCTTGAGTTTTTCAGTCCCTGCTCTAGAAATAAAAGGAAACCAGGTTCCTGAAATCTGGGAGGGACAATGGAGGAAAAGGAACAGAATTCTAGTGGGGTAGGAGAGCAGGGTTCTCTGAGGAGAGTGTGCTCCCTGGCAGGGGAAGAGATGACTTAGAAAACCACGAGACAAGGGAGCTGCGGTGTTTGCAAAGAAATGCTCATAATTAAAATTTAGATGGAGGAGGGAAATGAAGACATGGAGGGGATGAGGTCAGTGGGAAGGACAATCAATGGATTACAGGTCCTGGTGAAGTGATGAACTATTGGATTCAGTGCACTAAAGGGAGTGAACTGAAAAGACAGGAAATAATTGGTGGAAGAGTGGGATGTTTGAGAATGGGAGATGAAGGGATTATAGATCTAGAATATGACTAAAGGAACCAGTGGCAGAAGTGGGGGTGGAGGACAAGATCACTGAAGGAGCAAAGAACTTAGAGACCGGAGTATTAGAATGTTAATCCACATGGACACTAAAATCGTCAAGATTCATGATAGGAGTGATAGTGCATGGTATAGTCTAACGACATGTGTTTCAAAGCTGAAGTGTGTCAGGGATAAGAAAGAATTGTCTAAAAATGGTGTAAGGAAAAGAGGAAACCTGCACCACCTCTAGGCCCAGTGGTACAATGGATGTGAGAGAAAACACCACTACCAGAGGTGGGAGAAGCAGAGGCCTCGGGAGAAACAAGCTCAGAGCAGGAATGAAAAGGGAACATTCAGAGAAGAGGTTGAGGATGTAGGAAATTTTACTACTAACTAGTCATTAGTTCAGATGAGCACAAAAGGATTCCTTCCAGGAGCTGAAAGAGGAAGGGAGATGGGAACAAAAAGGGGGGTGAAGAGAAATGGTTACTGGAGTCTAAAAGATGAGATGAGTTGGTAGCTTAGGACTTCTTATGGTGATTGACATAAACAATATAAAGGGCATGTTGACATTAATTCTCATAGGGAGGAATGTGTATCTGGGGTCCCCCTTCAAGCCAGCCAATGTAAGTGCATGCAGGAGTGACAATTTTATTTTTATTTTTTTAATCCTCACCTGAGAATATGTTTTCATTTACTTTTTTAATGTTTTTTAGAGAGAGGAAGGGAAAGGGAGAGAAACATCCATGAAAGAGGAACATGGATCGGCTGCCCCCTGCTCACCCCCTACTGGGGATGGAGCCTGCAACCCAGGCATGTGCCCTGACCAGGTAGCCAGCTGGCACCTCTCGGTGCATGGATCAACACTCAACCACTGAGCCACAACGGCTGGGCTGTTTTCATTTATTTTTAGAGAAAAAAGAAGGGAGAAAGAGAGAGAAACGTCAACTGGTTGGCTCCAGTTACACACTGACTGGGGATCGAACTCACAACCCAGGTATATGCCCTGACTGGGAATTGAACCCAAAATTTTTTGGTGTACAGGACAATGCTCTAACCGACTGAGCCACCTGGATAGGGCAAGGCAGTCTTACTTTTGAGTTATAAATTAGTATGCCATTAGACCTGGCTTCCCACTATACTGAGGGGAGTTCTGAGCACCTACTTCAAAGAATTTAAATGAGGTGATGAATGTAAAGCAGCACAAGGCCCAATACTAAAATATTAGTTATGATACCATTGTTAAGGGGATGTTCAGAAGAGGGCTTAAGATAGCCATTCACCCCACCAACAACGTATTCAGTGCCATCTCTATACCGTTTCTGAAAAACACAAGCTAATTACCAACATACAAAAACAAAAATATTTTATTGCCGAGTCATCTTATGGTTCAAATGATGGGAGGGGGAATCTATAGCCTAGCCAGGACTCCCATGTCAGGACAGAGATAATGGGTTCCACTTGGGACACTATCAACTCTGATCCTGTTAACCTTGTCAGTCCCTCCAGGTCACTTCTACTTCATCTGTCCGATACCTGTGGAAAAAATTGGAAAAACTTGGTGGATGGCTATCCCTTAGCATCTTCCATTCTTCTCTGCCCTCATGATTCTGGACCCTCTCCTCTGCTGATTTTTGCCTACCTCCCATATAATCCTATCTACATTCCATAAGGGGGTACCCCACCTCTGTGTGACCCCAGAATCACTGAGGGGAGTCCTGTGTCCTGCCCGAAACATCTCCCAACCAGCCTGGGCTATCATGGCTCCATTGTCAATGCAGAATCTGGGAAGGAAAAGAGATATGAAATTTGGGATCTAAAGCTAGAAAACCATAGTAACTGGAGAGAAAAAAAAAATCAAGAAAGGACAAGGGCCTTTACCTTTCATCAGTGGCAAAAAGCCGGGCTCCACGTTCCTGGCACATCGTCTCCAGCATTTCCTGTAGCCTCAAATTACCTATGACAAGGTGGAGGGTAGATTAACTTAGTTTAGCCATTTCTCCAGCTGTACACTGCGTGTGCATTTACTTAGGAAAATGAAGTAGGGGTCCTGCAGGACAAAGATCATAGGATAAGAAATAAAACTAGTAATTTCCCCAAACCCTTAGATTTAAACTGTCAGGAGAAAGATACACATGCTTAAGAATGGGAAAGAGAGGTACAGTCCAGTGATACATACACCCGACACCTCCCACAACAAGGGCCTCCTGGGAGCCACAGTGTGCCATGGCCCGCTCTGTGATCTCTACCAGCATCGCAAACACAGTTTCCTGTGGGGAACAGACAAGGTGAAAACATGAGAGGGAATCACAGCTTCGCCTCCTTTCTGTCCCAGCTTTTTACTCCATTACCTGCAGGGAGAAACACAGATCCTCAGGAGTACACTCGCCGGTGGCCAGCATCCGATGGGCTACATCCTGTAATTAAAGGCGGAAAAACAAACAGATAAAACAATGAACAGTGGAGGGGGGTGGGGATGGGGCCAAGAAGAAATTAACCAAAGAACTTTTATGCATATATGCACTGCCCATGGACACAGACAATAGGGTGGTGAAGGCCTGGGGTGGGGCAGGAATGGGGGGTGGGGGACACATCTGTAATACTATCAACAATAAAGATAAAAAATAAATTAAAATTAAAAAACAAAACAAAACAAAACAATGAACAGTGGTTTGGGAGATGTCACGAGTGTAAAAATTGATGCACTTGGAGAATCACCATGTTTCATCTCAATTCAATTGACCAGCACATCCCATACCACGCTTTGCCCTTCACTGGCACCAAACTGCAGAATGGGTTGCATTCATTCAAGATTCAGTAATTATGAATACCTGCCCTGACACCATCCCCACCCCTCCTTTACCCTGAATTTTCTCCATCACATTTACTACTATCTAACCCTTTATATTTTATTATTTTCCCCTCTTCCTTTTTTTTGGTTTATCTGTCTCCCCATTAGAATGCAAGCTCCAAGTAGGCAAGGATTTCTGTTTTGCTCCATGTTATATTGCTATTGCTTAGGGCAGTGCCTGGCACACAAATGACATTCAATAAATATTTGCTAAATGAATTTATTCAGCTTCGAACATGGGCCAGTACTGTGCTATGCAGGAAATACAATGGTGAGCAAAACAAATATGCTTCATTAAAAAACATGTAAGTGCCGTTCTCCTCACGTCTTTCACACTCACCTCAATGAAAGACAGGATCCCTGAGAATGAGACGTCCATTCCTTTTACAGTGTATGGCAGCTCAACTAGCTTCTTGCCTCTATGTGGGAGTATATGAGGCACTGAGCCTGCAGTCAGCTGGCTGCTCACCCGCCAAAGTCCCTCCCAAGTCTCATTAACATATATACAGGAAAGTCCTGAAGCCCCACCAGTCACCCTGCTTCCACCTTATGGCCCCTTACCGCTTTGCCATCTGTTCAATGTTGTAGCCTGGACTCGGGTCATTGGAAATCTAGCAGATAGAAAAAGAGAATGAAGTCAGATATCCAGGAAACATAAGAAGCTAATTTACTACTTTCTTCCTCCATTTCCATGATTCTCCAGAAATCCATCCACATCTTATGTTCTCTGCAGTCCAATGGCTTACCTCCAGCACTCGAGCAAAACGATCCAGACAATTACCCACAGCGATATCGATGGTTTCCCCAAAGATGCGGTATCGATGTTCTGAATATGCAATCACCTAAGGGCGATGAGGATGTCCATGAAACCTCACGTCTGCAAAGAGGAGTATTTGGCTTTGGGGAAGAATATGGCAGAGGATCAACATGGCCACTAGAGTGTCCAACAAGAAATGGAAAGAAAAGATTTTGCCAAACCCTCAGTGGGTATTTTTTGTAGCTCTTCTGTGAGAACCTCACATATACCTCGAGTATTCCCCGAGCAGGCTCCTAATCTACAGAAGATAGTGTAGGTCAGGGGAGAAGCAAACTATCATTTCAAATACATTTTCTTAGCTTGGAGGTTCCTGACATATCCCTTAAAAACAGTCTTGACAGAGTAGACTAGGGAACAGGTTTTCCTGCTTAGGGGCAGGGAACTAGAGTTTTTTTTGAGTATCCTATCAGAGCAGTACTATTTGTAAACATGAGAAGAGAGAGAGGTAAAAAACTCAAAAATCCCATATTGGGTCAGACTAATGGCCGATCCAACTCAAGCCTGGCAATCAACTCATGTCCATTTTTCATATGTGACCAACTTCTAGCACAGAATATATATATCACCCACTGGCACACGTGCTCCATATCTGGCAGTGTTCCCCCCTTTTCCCGGTGCTGTGCAGGATTTCCTTCAGTTCTGATATAGATTTTACTCTACTATCAAAAGGCTGGTGACAGCCCTGGCTGGGTGGCTCAGTTGGTTGGAGTGTCATCCTGTACACCAAAAGGTTGTGGGTTTGATCCCCGGTTGAGGCAACCTATCAATGTCCCTGTTTCTCTCTCTCTCTTTCTCCCTTCAAATCAATAAAAACATCCTCGGGTGAAGATAATATATATATATATTTTTTTATCCTCACCCGAGGATATTTTTCCACTTTTTGTACAGATAGAATGGGAGGGAGAGAGAGTGAGAAACATCGACATGAAGGGACACATCGAGTGGCTGCCACCCGCACGACCAACCAGGGCCGGGGACAAACTGCAACCGAAGTACGTGCCCTTAGCGGGAACCGAACCCGGGTCTCTCCGGACCGCAGGCCGACGCTCTAACCGCTGAGCCAAACTGGCCAGGGCGAAGATAATATTTTTAAAAAAGGGAGTGAGGAAGGAAAAATTCCTGTCTTTGTCCTTCTATCATCTACTCGTTTCTACGCAATCATCTTCCATTTTTTACACCAAAGCAGAAAAGAGGAAAAGAGAAGATGCTATCATTGCCCTCTTAACTCTTGCGAGCCTCCACTGCTATTTTGCACACCCCAAGTCCCTAATTTTTTATCCTCACCTGAGGATATTTTCCTATTTATCTCCAGATAGAGTGGCAGGGAGAGAAAGGGAGGGAGAGAAAAACATCAACGTGAGAGGGACACTTTGACTGGTTGCCTCCCACACGACCCTGACCAGGGCCGGAAACAAACCACAACTGAGGTATGTGCCCTTGACCAGAATCAAACCCACGACTCTTTGGGCTACTACCCATGAGCCAAACTGGCCAGGACACTACTTTTTTTTTCAAATATGTTTTTATTGATTTTGAGAGAGAGAGGAAGAGATAGAAACATCAATGTGAGAGAGACATATCGGCTGCCTCCTGCACGCTCCCTGATGGGGATCGAACCCGCAACCCGGGTATGTGCCCTGACCAGGAATTGAACCAGGACCTCTGTCCATGGGACAATGCTCAATCCACTGAGCCATACCTGCAGGGCCCCAGTCCCTAATTGTGCATGTTATCCTTCAGGCCTCAACCATCTATGTGCCCTCTGCCTGTTCAAGTCTCCACATCATTTTCATGGGAATGTGTGCTTCACCTTTAATAACTATTTCACCAATGAAGTTTTAGAACATAACCTTTCCATAGGCTGGGGACAATGACTATTTCTGACAATAATCCCATCAGGTAGTCTTTGGGAAAAAAGGCTGGAGTTCTCCAATCCCAACCTAAAAAGGTATTATAAGGTATCCAAAACAATTCTGGCTTCCCCTATAAACTTAAAACACTTTCAACCATTTATAAAATTAGTTATATTTTCACATCCTCAGAATAACAATTTCTCTATATATACTACCAGTAACGCAAAACAAAACGTCACTGTCATAAAGAAAGAAACTGAGTAGTGCCTCTTAGTTTTAATTGCTAAGATCTGTATTAAAAATAAGCTTCAAAATAATGCCAGTGAAAATCCCTCAGTTATTTTGGGGGCTTCAATCCTTACCATTCTTTCCTTTTCTACAGAAATTCCTAAGATCTTTATAACTGTATATAGTCACTTTATGTTCTGATTATCCTGCCCAAATCTGCAATATTACAAACTTTGTTATGTATTTTCTAGTGTCACATTTTAGGTTCAAATGAGCCCAGATTTACTCTTGGCAGTTCTTGTCACTCAGGTAGAGCATGAAAGGTGCTGGTACAGTGCCTTAGAAATTAAGAAATGGTGCAGCATTCTAAATACCTGTGTATTTCCTCCACTGACATACAGCACAGTTGGGCTGATGGCTCCAGTGATGAGGCGGCCCATCTCAATGTGGCCTATACAGTGGTTCACACCTAGCAATGGCTTATTCCATAGCTGGGCCACAGTACGGGCTACAACAGCCACAGAAACCAGTGGGGCACCCATGCCAGGGCCTAGGGAAATAGAAATGGGAGTTAGAATACTTTAGAGATTGGGAAAAACAGAGCTGGAGGAAGCAGGAAATGTGAGAGGTGGGATCGAGGTAGTAATGATAGCAGAGACAAGCTGCAGGCTATTTTGACATAGCCAAGCTCTGCGTACATTCTTCCACTGCCCACCACTTACCCAGTCATACCTTTGGTGTAGGCAATGCAGTCAATATCCTGGGAAGTTAATCCAGCCTCTGTTAGTGCCTCCTGCAGCAGGTCCAGGATAACAGCTCGGTGATGCCTGGCAGTATCACCTGGAAGAAATCCTAGAAGACGAACATAAGTCAGAGATCACAGGGGATTTTTTTTTGTAACAAAGATAGGCAGAAATCCAAGACAGGCATTTTAGTAGTAAAAAGAGTCCCTTGCACTCTCCTCAAGCATCCTGTCTTCCAGGTATTCAGCTATATTATTTCCAGCCTGTTCAACTAGGCTGAACAGCCCTTCCAAAATGCCCTTCTTCATACCCAACTTCTACTCAGCCTTCAGGACTCAATCCAAGTGATACCTAAGTCATACCCTTTGGTGATCTCTGTGGCTCTACAAACCCTGTGCCTGATCACATTGCTGTATTTAACCATGTTCAGTATTTTGATCAAGAGCCCGTTTGCTGTAACATCTTTGCCACAAGCATTCCCTCGCATTTTTGCTGCATAACTAATTGGCCTTAAAGCAATTTCACAGTAAAAAATAGAAAATACAAGAGGAACTTTGAGCCCTAGCCAATTTGGCTCAGAAATTAGAGTGTTGGCCCACAGACCAAAGGGTTGCAGGTTCAATTCCGGTCAAGGGCATGCACCTCGATTTCGGTTCAGTCCCCAGCCCTGGTGGGGGTCGTGTGGGAGGCAGCCAGTCAATGTATCTCTCTGGCATCGATGTTTCTCTCTCTGGCATCGATGTTTCTCTCTCCCACTCTCCCTCCCATTCTGTTTGAAAATAAATGGAAAAATATCCTCAGGTGAGGATTAAAAAAAAAGAGGGACATTGAAACATGAAAAAATTTGTAAAAAGTTATTGCGAAAAATGAAAATACATTATTGTCTTCAAAGTCTTTTGTTCATAGTACAGTTCTTTTTTTTTTTGCTTGTTGATTTCATCTCCTTGTTTGGCATCATGTTTTTTCTTTTTTGTTATAATTCTTCCTTCATTAGAAGACTGTTGTGAATTAGTAGCTGCCTCTTATATATTCACTATTGCTTGGTAAACATTTGGTTTCAACGGGTGGGAGAAAGACTGCTCATAAGGATTTGCAAAATGGCAAGTTATCATTTTCTAGCACAGTATGCAATCTGGCTTTCACATAGCTGTGCAATCTGGGTTACACATAACTGTTATCATCCACTATTTTAAGACTACCATATCTACTCATCACTGCAGGGACCATTATGAGGGCTATGATTTATTTAATATAAAAATGGCTATAATTTATTTAATATAAAAATGGGAGTAACTGTGACAATTTCTTCAATGGAGAAATGAAACCAAACTGTCAACTAGCTGAAATACGTTATCTCTGCCAAACTGTCAACCAGTTATTTTATCTTATACAGTGAAACTGCCTTATGGTCAATTAGTTGTGCAGTGAAAATGTTTGTGGCAAAAATACCTAGAACCATATTTAAGATGTAACAATTACAGCATTGTAATTACCTATAGTTTCCCCAGTTTAACTGTGAGCATCTCAAAACACTGGCTATTTTATTCATCTTTGTATTCCTGGTGCCAAAATGCCTAGAAGAGGTGTGCTAAACATACATATATTTATAATGAGTAACCTGTCACAACATCACCTGTTCAGGGAGGCTTTTCAGGTATATGCAAGTCGGTTGCCTATACACACACACACACTTATATACACAGGTGTTTTGGGGGAGGGCAGGCATGATATAACATCATAACTTACAAATAGCATTTACTTATTTATTTGTTAATCCTCACCCAAGGATATTTTTCCATTGATTTTCAGACAGGGTGGGAGGGAGGGAGACATCGATGTGAGACAGACACATTGACTGGTTGCCTCGCACACAATGGAACAGGCAGTATGGAATCTGAAACCCAGGTACATGTCCTTGACCAGGAATCGAACCCGAGACCTTTCAGTCAGAGGGCTGACGCTCTAACCGCTGAGCCAAACCGTGCAGGGCACAAATTGCATTTATTAAAAGTTGTAATGTGACTGGTACTTTAACTCTCAAGACCCAATGATGCCGGTATTATTCCCATTTTAAGAGTAAAGAAATCCAAAAACATATACTGAACATGAATACTGCAAAACCAGCCAGTTCTGACACCTAAACTGGGAGTCTTTACACTCATTTTAGAATATTGTGATTGCATCTATATATTACACTATTTAACATCCTGTAAAGTCCTGTTTACAAGTCCAACTCTACAGCAGGTTCATCACATCTACCTTTGCATGCAACTATTTTTGTGTCCAACAGCCAAGCTGACTAACGATTAGCATAAGGCAGGCGCTCAATAAAAGGTGAACGAACCCTGAAGATCCAGCAATAAGTGCCTGTGACTCTTCTATCCATCCGCTTTGTGACGTTAATAAACGTCACATAAGCTCATAGACTCGAATCAAAAACTCTATGAGGGAGCAACGCGCTCCACCCCTACTTCACTAGCGTTTAGGAAGCTGGAAGCTGGTGCTGGGCGGAGAAGCGCGCTGCAAGCCCGAAGCTCCCTGCTCACCTGTGCCCGGGGGCGTGACGTAAGTCCGCCGCGGGTTTGCCAGCACCGCGCCGTCCCGCACCACTCCCACGCCAATCTTGTTGGCGCTGCCTTCAAAACCCAGTACCGTGGGCATGGCGGAGGCTGGGAGAGAACGCCCGCAGGGCTCCAGCCCCCACTGCAGCCGAGGTATCCTCCCCGGGCAGTGCTGAGCGCACACTGCCGAGCGCAGAGGAAGGAGACAGCCGGCAACCGTCAGGCGGCCGAACGCGGTCGGACAGGAACCGAATAACTCCGGCGCCTCGCGCCGGCCCGCCCCCGTCGTCACGGCGACCCGTCAAGGCCCCTTCAAGGACCTGTCCTCCTCACTGCCAGGGACGCTGAGCCGGCCTCTGCCCCGTACATTCCTATGCGTTCCTTTGCCTCTCTCCGGTGGTCCGGCCCAGCCTTCTCCACTGATTTTTTTTCTCATCTGCACAGCGCTGGGACCTTTGGTCAGGGTGGCAGAAGGACTCGTGCAGCGGGCACACCAATAAACAGCCGGATTCGGAGGGCTGGGGCCCTGAACCCCCTGGATACCTCGGAGGAGGGAGGGAAGGCCAGGTTCTCCGTCACGTGGTGCCAGACGGACTAATCCGCCGCTGCCTCAGCTCACGTGACCACACCAGTTACCCACGTGGGAGCACAGCGTGCTTCATTCTTTGTGCTCGGTAAGAAGGATCCCGGCTGCAACTCCAGCAGGTCAGATACCGGGTTGCCGTTCTTTTGACCATAAGAGGGGCTTCTTTGGACTTCTGATCGGCTAGCGTGAGCCTTGATCTTAATTAAGGTCTTCGATTGGCTTGAGGGAAGATCTCGCGAGGAGGGTACATAGATCACTGTGAAATGATCTAGTGTTGTGGGTGAGGGGTAATGGGCCTATGGCGCATGGAGGCGGGGATGGGATTCAGAGATAACGCGCCGCGCACTGGAGGGGACTTTCCCCCAGCTTTAGCCGGTTTCACCCCTTATTTGTGTCTGTAGGCAAGGCGGTAAAAATACTGCTTCGCTGGGCAACGTGGTGCAGGAAGGCGTTCGTTACAGTGATGCCGAAGCGTGGGAAAAAGGGAGTGGTGGCAGAAGACGGGGAAGAGCCCAAGACGGGTAAGAGTGAAATGAACGTCCCCCTCCCTAGAGGCTGTGATGGTGGTGCTTCCAATTTCTTGGGTAAATGGGAAGTACGGACCAACGCACCACATTTTTGCAGTTTATGAAGAAGTTGCGGCAATCACAGGCTCTCAGTGGGCCTATAGTTAACTCAGGATGAAAGTTGGGTACCGCCAACTTTTATCACTATGTATTACTTATTTTATAGAGCCAGAGGCCAAGAAGAGTAAAGCGGGAGCAGGAGCAAAGAAAAACGAAAAAGAGGCAGCAGCAGAGGGGTCAGCCCTGTATGAGGACCCCCCAGATCAGAAAACCTCACCCAGTGGCAAATCAGCCACCCTCAAGATTTGCTCCTGGAATGTGGATGGGCTTCGAGCCTGGATTAAGAAGAAAGGTTTGGATGTGAGTGGGAATCAAGGAAGGGAAAGAGACAGTCTTTGGTATTGAATGATCTTGGGGTTTAATCATCTCTTCCCATTTTAGTCCCCACCTCCTAGGTTTTATTTTTTATAGTTTTCTTGTGGGAGAGGTACAGGAGGGGCTTCACCAAGTGTTCCTTGTATATCCTTTCCTTCCATTCCAAAGTCTTAAACATTTAATGTCTTCACCTCTTACCCAGCATGTTAAAATAGTCAGACTGGACTTGCTCCATTTTTATCTCTAGCATATTCTGTTTTTAAATAGGTAGTGCTTACACAATGCAATGTATTATAGAATTGTACACTTGAAACTTATGTAATCTTATTGACCAGTATCATCCCAATAAAATTAGCAATATTTCAAAAAAGAAATAAATAACTAGTGCTTGAAAATCTTAGCTGTCCATTGCCAAAAGAAAAAACTACACTCTCCTCAGGGTTGCATGTAAGTCCTATCTCCTTCGATTAGTTACCAGTTATCTGATAAAGTACTGTGCTACTAGACTGTTAAACTCCTTATGCACAGGGACTCTGTCTTCTGTGTTATCTCTAGTGCTTAGCACAGATTCTTAAATATCTGCTGAATTGATACTATCTTTTATCCCTTTTATTCTGCTCAGTGGGTAAAGGAAGAAGCCCCAGATATCCTGTGCTTGCAAGAGACCAAATGTTCAGAGAAGAAACTACCAGCTGAACTTCAAGACCTGCCTGGATTATCCCATCAGTACTGGTCCGCTCCTTCAGACAAGGAAGGGTACAGTGGCGTGGGCCTACTCTCTCGCCAGTGCCCACTCAAGGTCTCCTATGGCATTGGTGAGACCCTATTGATTCCTAATGCCTGAGCTCTTCCAAACCAATTGCTAATACCCCATTCCAGCCCCAATTCTTGATTCCTTTTTCTTATACGTCTTTTACTTATTTTTCTTATACTTCTTTATACTGATACTGTTTCATCATTTCTGCAGGCGAGGAGGAGCATGATCAGGAAGGCCGAGTGATTGTGGCTGAATTTGATGCATTTGTGCTGGTAACAGCCTATGTACCTAATGCAGGTCGAGGTCTGGTGCGCCTGGAGTACCGACAGCGCTGGGATGAAGCCTTTCGCAAGTTCCTGAAGGGCTTGGCTTCCCGAAAACCCCTTGTGCTATGTGGGGACCTCAATGTGGCTCATGAAGAAATTGACCTTCGCAACCCCAAGGGAAACAAAAAGAATGCTGGTTTCACTCCACAAGAGCGGCAAGGCTTCGGGGAATTGCTGCAGGCTGTACCATTGGCTGACAGTTTCCGGCACCTCTACCCCAACACGGCCTATGCCTACACCTTTTGGACCTACATGATGAATGCTCGATCCAAAAACGTTGGTTGGCGCCTTGATTACTTTTTGGTGTCTCATTCTCTGTTACCTGCATTGTGTGACAGCAAGATCCGTTCTAAGGCCCTGGGCAGTGACCACTGTCCCATAACCCTATACCTAGCACTGTGATGCCTCCCCCAAGCAAGTCCCCTAAACTAGCTTTGAAACTTCTTTGCTTTCTAGAGAATTCTGCACTGTATTGCCCTTCTAAAAATATGACTCCTTCATCCAGGCTCCTCGTGACAGATGGGTTTCCTTTAAGCACAAGGTTTTGTTTTTTTGTGTGTGGAGGGTTTTTTCTTCCTTTTTTTTTTTTTTACATTTAACAAAAGCTACTGATGACTTGCTTTGAACTGTCCATATGAAAATAAAGAGCCATAGTTTCAGCCTTGCTGTCTTTGTATTCTACCCTTCTATGGGACTACAAATTCCCCTCATTTTTTCTTACATGCAGATTAACAACTAGAAAAGGGCAGAGTCATGACCTTATTTATTTACAAGCACAAGTCCCTAACCTCCCCCAACACAGCAATCCTACCTAGCCCAGTGAAATTCTACAACTGGGGGGTAAGGTTGGAAGGAGGAATTAAGGAAAACACAGGACTAGGGGGACACGCCCCATATTAAATAGTTATATACACATCAGTTCCTGTGGTTCTGTACAGAGCAGCAGCTGACCCCACCCCCACAGGACACGGAATGGGGGGAGAGACAGGGTACTGAGGCCGAGCCAGTCCCTGGTGAAGTGCAATAGCAGCAGCAAGGTCCTAATGGTGCACAAGAGGGAGGAAAACCCCCAGGGCTACCCACCCTAACCCTGCCCTGGAATGTATAAGGGACAGGAATGGCTCCAGGGAGCATATAGGAAGGACAAGGCTAAAACCGTCTTAAGACCCAGGTTTAGGGGCAACATTTCGCCTACTTCACCCTAAACACAGCAACCCTTGGAGGAAAGCAGATGGCCAGCAGTGGTCTTACCTACCCCTCCAAACTTAGGTGAGGGCCCGATTCCCTCCCACCTCTCCCCAGGGAAAAGGAAGGCAGCTGCTTGGCTCCTCTTAGAGAAGCCCAGGGAACCTTTTGTCATGGCTCCCTTTGTAGTGTCACTGTCCCCACCAGGGAGGGGCCAGGCACAGTCTGTGGGTCATCGCTGGGCTCAGGAGAAGTTCTGGACAGGGTGGCTGACCTTCATACAGGCCCAATAGAGGGCCCGCCCCAAACACAGCACAGCCAACAGGATGACAAATGCCCAGGCTGCATAGATGCCTCCATATCGTCGGGCATACTTCCATGTACCAAACTGACAAAAAAAGAAAAAAAAGATGGGGTTAATGTGATCTATCACCACCTTCTAGGAGCCCTAGTAACAGTAACACAACTCAAGCTTCAGTCTCTGTTCCCTATCCACATGCAGCCACCTTCAGGGATCTGCTTAAAGGTCCAGGCATTCAGTTTCCTTCCCTTAGGCAGGAATATATACTCATACAATCCTGAACATCTGTCAATTCTTCTTAATGTCTTAAAATTGTGCTAGGTTTCCTAAATAGCAACTCCTAATTTAAACTACTTCTCTATCATCCTATTCTCTGCATAAAGAAGATGGCTGTTCTTTACTCATAGTAACAATGAAGACTATCAGTTACCTTCAACTTCAGCTCATCTATACATTAAAACACAAAATAAGCAAAACACCCTTGGTTTCTTTCCCTTTTTCTTTAGGTTAGCCATTCTCAAATCTTAGCCTACCTACAGAGATCAGGCTGGAGAATGAAAGGGGCTGGATCACAGTTACTCACGGCAAGGCCAGTGGCAGTGACTGCCAAGAGGAAGCCGAGCAAGAAGCAGCAGATACATCTCTTTCGTGGATATCTACGTCCAATAGATGACCTGTGGAGAGGCAAACAGAAATGGATGCTTGAAACGGTCCTGTTAGTTTTACTCTACGCTACCCGATCACCAGCTCAATGATGCCATTCATAATTACTTACACTTTCCTGCAGTGAGGGCAACGGGCCAAGGTTCGGTCTGTGAACTCTGTCCACTATGGAGAAAGAAAAAGGGAAAAATCAATTAATAGTAGAAGTAGGGTCATCTATTTTGAGAGTCCTAGGGCAGAGGAGTATGGGAAATGGGTTGTCATAGAACAGGGCTGTTCAGGATTCATTATCATAAATCAGAAATACATTCATGATTCCTCCTGGGTTTTTTTCCCCAGAACTTCCCAGTACCCCTCCTCACCAGAAAAGTATTCTTGCAATGTCCACAGATGACCCTGACACCCATGGGTTGTGGTTCTGGACTTAGAGGTCCTGGGTGCACAGGCCCCAGATTAATGATTCTTTTGCTGT